ATTATGCTGAGAAAAAGAAATTGTAGAGCTAAACATCGCTCTGACAGCTGAAACATCAAAGAGAAAACACAAGTTTGCTTTGCTGGAAGAAGAAAACACATCTAAAGCTTCTGTTTTATGTTTCAAATCAGTTTTTAGTTATTAGCCAWATAAGCTTCTCTACAGTCAGGTGTTTAATCAAACTGTTAGAACTGAATAAAGCTTTGTCCCTACTGATTAACATGCACTCTTCATGAAATATCTCATCTAACATTTAACGGCTTYTTTTAGGATCGCCCTGCAAGAAGACACAAACCGGATGTCGGCTAACGCCCTGGCCATAGTTTTTGCTCCCTGCATCCTCCGCTGTCCTGACACCACCGACCCTCTGCAGAGCATTCAGGACATCAACAAGACGACGGCGTGAGAACTCACTCATTGTTTATCAAACTGTCCTCTGCTGTCTGCAGGCAGGGAGAGAGTTTCACTGGGAGCAYGTGAAAAAAGCTGGAGTTAACACTCAGTTAAATTATTCTGTTTAATGTGAGAACAATAAACTAACAAGATCATCAGATGGATGAAGGAAAACAGATTTTTGAATGAGAAGAGGAAATAACAGAACAGATGTGTTCACAACATTAACAAGAAAATTTGCATTTCCTGTGAAAAGGAAGTGTGAATGCTTAATGCTGAAAGATTTTCACTGAGTCACCAGGCCTCCCCTGGAACAGGTCTGTGATCTCAATGGGATTTGCCTGGTTAAACAACAGTAAATAAAAAATAAATTATAAAAAAAGGCTCAAACTAGCCTAAAATAGTTGAAAAAGGCAGCTGAAATTAGCACAAAGAAACAGAATGAGCACTTTGCTGAATTAATCTGAAATTAACACAAAAGGTGAATTTTGCCTGGAAAAAAAACTCAAATTAGCTAAAAATACAGAAAATTGCTGAAATTGTCAGAAAACAGCTGAATGAAAACTGAAAAGCTTGAAGCACAAAAATAGTTGAAGTATAGCATATAATGGCAGAAAAGGCCAGAATGATAGCTAAAAAAGCAGAACAAAACTAAAATCAGCTAAATGGATGTTGAAGGTAGCTGAAATTAGCACAGAAATGTTGAAAAAAGGAACAGAACAAACAATAAAGTACAGTAAAGATTTGTTTATTTATATTTTGGAGGGTTTTAAAGATGTTTAAAAGAGCTGCATTCATTTTCAATGAGAAAAACCTGGCCAACAAAGCTAAATATTTCAAAAAGTATGAATTGATGAAG